CTCAAAATTTCAAGATTATATCTCATAATTCTCTGTTTATTTCTTGCAATTTGGACTTATTTTCTCAGAATTGCGAGAAACAAAGTTTGAATTGTGGGATATAAACATTTCTCACATCAGAAACGTGACATAAAAAAAAGTTAGTTAATTAGTATTGTAAGATAACATAATATAAACTCGCAATTCTGAGAAGAAAAGTTCAAAGTATGAGATATTGTGAGAAAAAACTTTTGTATTTTTTTATTCTGTGGCAGAAACAAACAAAAAAGGAATTGTGATGTGAACTCTGAATTAAAGTCAGATTTGCAAAATCTAAACTTAAAATTCTGAGAATTGCGAGGGGAGCTTATATCTCACAATTCTGTTTATATCTCTTAATTGTGACTTATTTTCTCAAATTTTGAATTGTGAGAAAAAAGTGTCACAACTTTTTTTTTTTATTATTTTGTGGTGCAAACAGGTTTCCTTGAATACAAATAGGATTTTTGAGGCCACTTCAAAAGGTGCTAGAGGTTCTCCAGAGGGTTCTCCAATGCCTCAAGAATCCTTTCAATTTTATTATGTGCATTACAGTTTCATGTGTTCTAAAGATGCATTAAATGAACATTAAATGAGAGATTATGGCGATTAAATCAAATATTTGTGCAAAATCATCAGTAAGCCAGGCCTAAAGCTCAGCATCATCAGCATCCTAAACTATTCAACATTCCTTGACACTGTCGTGGTAATTATGACCAGTGCCATTCCTGATTGCATTGATTAGAGTTTTAGCTGGAAAGATGCAGGGGGCAGCAGGTTTTTTACATGCACTCTGTCTCATCCATTATGCCACATTTGTCAAGTTGGGGGTTTCAAGTCATTTAGTCCATGTGGGGCTGTAAACTGGCTTTTGGAGATGGCCAGCAGTACAAAAGCTTGTGGCTGGCTGTTTGGAGTGCAGATGGTCAAGACAGCTGGGACAATTTAGCGATCTGAGACTCTTAAACTGCCCTCCAGACATGCTAAAAACAGCTTGACAACATGCCTGCTATTGTTTTGCTCATTTTATGAGGACATTGATCTTTGAGTGAATGGATTTTGCATTTGTGATAGAGAAGAGTAGAAATCTTGCTGTCTGGACCAATAACAAATCTTAGAAATTAGATCGTAAAGTTAAATTAAAAGAATCTATATACTATAATACATATATATTCTATGATAAATTAGAATGAATTTGATCATTTACTACCATTACTTAAAATTATATTCATCTAAGATGACATAAAGAAAAACATAATATTCTATATATTATATTATTTAAATATGATCTTTAATTTTTGACATAAAATGTTTTATAACTATTGGACATCCAGTATCTCTTTTCTTTTGGATTTTGCATTTGTAATGGAGAAAAGTAAGACTTGCGGTCTGTATCACTAATACATTTTAGAAATTAGATTGTAGAAATAAATTAAATCTATATACTATACACATATAAACGTTTATATTCTCTATGATAAATTATTTGATAAATCAGATCAATTTAAATGTAAAAGTAATGGTTTAAACTGAAATTAGAAAAGGCTAAGGGAAGTAATATATTTTATCTTACACATATCTATGTATTATATTAAATGTACTACCATTTGCAACCATTATTTAGAATAATATTTCAGATTACATGCTGAAAAAAAATACAAATACAAAATACAAATAATAAATAAAAAATGTATTATAAATGTTGCGGGGAGAAAACAGTAGATATTAAACATTTTATACATTATTAAAATTATATATATTCTATATGATTTTATCCCTTCATATATTATATATAAAATGATAGGGAAATATATAGAATATATAAAATATTTTAAATAATGATAGTAAATTAGCATTATATGTGACCCTGGACCACAAAACCAGTCGTAAGGGTCAATGTTTTGAAATTGAGATTTATACATCATCTGAAAGCTGAATAATTAAGCTTTCCATTGATGTATGGTTTGTTAGGATAGGACAATATTTAGCCAACTATTTACACAACTGGATACAACTATTTGAAAATCTGAAATCTGAGGGTATGAGTGAATGAAGTTCTTAGCAATGCATATTACTAATCAAAAATTAAGTTTTGATATATTTACGGTAGGAAATTTACAAAATATCTTTGTGGAACATGATCTTTATCCTGATGATTTTTGGCATAAAAGAAAAATCGATAATTTTGACCCATACAATGTATTGTTGGTTATTGCTACAAATGAAGAGTTCAGATGCAAAAGCCTCTAAATATGTCTGACGTTTTTCTTTAAAATTAGCATTTCTTTCTAGCTATGTATAGGTTTCTATGTAAGTACAGGTACTTCTGAATGGGTTGAGGCTGGGATTTAGCGCATTTGAAGTGAAAGTGCTTGATGAAAATATACTATGTGTGGAGAGCATTCACTCAGCATCGTTATCTCATTTTTGACCCAGATACCTTTTAGAGGCTTTTGCATTGGAACTTTTCAAATATACCAGTGCTACTTATGACTGGTTTTGTGGGCCAGGGTCACATATATTATATCCCACACATTTTGTTTTTTCAATTCAAAGCATCATTTTAAATAATTTAATTTCAGTTCAAACCATATATAAATTTAGGAGCTAACCATTTTATGCCTGAATGGATGTAGTAAACTAATCATGCTCAGGAAATAGTGTGCAGCCACCTAACAGCAGCCGAAACCTCTGTTAAAAGCAGTTCTCCTGATTGCCTGCCATCTCTACAGCTGCCTAATGAAGGCTGGGATCTGTGCTTGCTTTGGAAATGAGTTTTCCCTTGAAAACGGCGTAAGCCGTATCCAGGTCTATTTAAATGAGGTAACATGGGGAAGGTAAGCACAACCACTGGAGCATTGTTTGCACAGTTCAAAGTGAGGAGAGCATACTTTGCACTTCAAAGACACTCATCTGGGAGGCAGTGAGAGGAGTGGGGGTGGCTGGGGGAAGGAGGGGGGATTTAGGGGACAGGAAATAAGAATCTGGGTAATTAACAACTTCTGCTCCGTAATAAAGCACGCAAAAGGAGACAGAAGCAGCCTCCCCTACGTAAAGCCACCAAATTTCTGATGTGTTATACCTCTGTTCCCTCTTTTTTTTTGAATATCATATTTATGAATATAAAATATCCTGCGAAATAATGCAATTTTAACAAAACTGATGAACTATTCTCACTTATTATAAAAACGAGACAGTTTAACAGCAATCATTTTAGAGACTATCTATCTATCTATCTATCTATCTCTTATTAAACAACTTTTTTTCTTTCTTTAAATGTGTGAATGAAACCACTTACTCAGTATAAACATTAATGGGCTGAGTATCATTATAGGGTTGTTTATTTTAAAGGCAGTCTTCAAAATAAAAATTAATATTACAGCAACTCAATCCTATTTGACCGATCTGAAGACGACACACACGTATAAGTTAAGCACGTTTCCTACATGTCATGTCATTTCTCCATCACTGTGGTATATTTTAGCAGACTAAAGCAATGCATCTGCGAGGACAAAGGTCGATTGTTATGCGGCTGGAGGTGAGAGGCAACACAAAGCAGTGAGGATTTTCTATGTATTAAGATGTTAAATGGCTTTCCGACTTCAATGTAAATTCTGTGAGAGAAAGACTCAAAGTGTTAGATGAACTTTGAATGCTCTGCATTTAATCCCTTTAAATGTGATGACGCCCTTAACTTGAACCCGGAGTGTGAAAATGTCACGCAGGGCTCTTTATTTTCTAATATCACTTCAGAGTGCGAACTACTGAGTGTGCATAGAGATTTATTACATTTGTTTTGTTGGAAACTTTTACTGATTACCTGGTATAGCTTCTTCATTCGCTTTTATTAATGGGACAAGAATAATAGCCTAATCCGATCGTCTTCAAACTTCATTTAGCGTCATAATTAATACGCAATCTTTCCAGAATGATAAATTGACAACTAATAACACCTGAAGAGATTAAAAACAGATTAACAGAAAAATCAAACCGCCTACAGTGGAACTAATATACATTGAAATACTTTAAACCCCTAAAACTTACATTTGGAACTAACAATAGGAAAAAATAATAATTATATTAATGGCAATTAAGCAGTTAGAAATGTCACATTTTCATATGTATAATATATTTTCATATTCGTTTTAAATGCATATCAACTGCACGCTAAAATATATGTTTTTTAAAAGGTCATTTAAAAAGTTATAATTTGCGAGGTTCGTCGCACTTTTACGTAATTACTGATGGAAAAAATTAAGTTGAAACTCTTAAAATCGAGTGGAAATTATTGTGACCAGCTACATTTTGTTGGTTTTATTAAGTTATTATAAAGTCTTGATTGTAAGAAGCAAGTGTGCTCATTTCGTTTTTAATTTGTGACAAAAGAACGAGTCGTTAAACCTGTAAATATCATGTAAACGAACTTTCTCATATTAGACTCTTCTCACCAACAACCTGTAAAGTAAAGGGGTTCTCACAGGTTAACATTTGGCAAAATGAAATTAGAATGAAATTAAGGTTATAATACACCCCTCTTGCTAATCTCCCAAAGATTGCCCTCCCCAATATTCCCCCTCCGCATCTCTCCTCCATTCACTGGCCCTCCTGATACATACTTAAGAGACCCCGTCGAGAGGATCTTTTCCCTATAAAGAGAAGATGCAATCCGAACGCCTTTGAAATGATCCTCAGGACTTATTGCGACAGGCCCTTCAGTCGCACTTCAAAAGGAAGAGTCCTGGTTTGAAAGCCGCTGCTTTTGAAAAGGGACCCAGAAAACCAGGAGCAAGAGCGCGAAGTGGTCAAAGACTCTTACATCCGATAAAGGACAGGAGTAGGAAGAGAGAATCAAGGGGTTATTGATGATCACTATATCTAAACTCATGCACAGGTAACCTGGTTGTGTAACGGGGTCAATCCGTGCAGGATCTTTGCGCGCCTCCTCGCCCGCACGCTCTGACTTTGGCACGGTTACGCACTGCGCGCCGCGCTTCACGCAGGTGTGGATATATCTTGAAGCTCCCGTGCACACATGGCTGCGCTAACCTTATCCAGAGCGGACAATTTCCTGCACAATTTCTTACAGGTACTGCACTTTTGTTTTTTAATAAATTTGTTTTATCATACATTTTCCGCTTACTAGAGATACTTTGGCACAATTAAATCAACAAAAAATTTTTTTGCTGCATAACTTTTATTTGGGTGCATCTTCTTTCTTTCTTTCTTTCTTTCTTTCTTTTTCTATCTATCTATCTATCTATCTATCTATCTATCTATCTATCTATCTATCTGTCTGTCTATCTATCATCTAGTTTCCATTGATTTAACATGTCACATTGTTTCCTTCAAATTTAAGAACTTTTAATTTAGTTTCAGAACAGTTAAGAAATTAAAAGTAATTTAAAAAGTGCAAGTAACTTAAAGTTGTCATTTTGGCAAGATTATGTATTATATTCAATATATTCACTTTAAAAAACAAAAATAATTTAGTAAAATGAGCTGCATTATTATTATTTTTAATTATCTAGAAATTATTAATTTACTGATAATATAAAAATAATTTCAAATAATAATAAAAACTTAAAACAAGGCTGTAATTAAACGTATTTTACAAAATATTTTTTTTATACCAAATATAATTCTAAATCAATTCTGTATATATGAATATGAACGTATGAAGGTTCATTTAGTTACAATGATTTTTTTCCCCCCATCTAGGATCGTACTCCCAGCTCCTCTCCAGAAAGCGGTCCTAACACCCTTTCCTTTTTGGCCACCACATGCAGTCAGGCTTGGCAGGAGGGGTCTCAGCTCCCTTACGAAGGGCCGGTGGGCTCCGCTTCCAGCATGTTTCAGCTCTGGAGCAATGACGTGGCCCCAAACTCCAGCTTGAGTGCTCACCAGATGACCTTCACTGTGCCCAAAATGCAGTTCCCTGGCCACATGCAGCCCACCTTGGGCTCGCACTCCCATCATCACCATCATCACCACCATCACCACCACGAGCTCCCCCTCACCCCTCCAGCCGAGCCTCCGACCGCCTACTCATTCGATCTGTCTCCAGTAAAGATGCTCTCCTCCCAGGCGCAGGGGAACGTGCCGTACTACACGCAGCACAACGCTGTGGGTCAGAACTTTCCTAGCTTCCTTCAGAACGCTTCAGGAAGACCTCACCTGCCAGGTGGACACGTTGAGGACGGCCAGCAGTGGTGGAGTCTCCCTCAGAGTAACAGCGCACCCTCCGGGCACCCCTTCTCTCTGGGACGCCAGCTGGTTTTGGGCCACCAGCCTCAAATCGCTGCTCTTCTGCAAGGAACCTCAAAAGGTCTGCTGAGCTCAACTCGCCGTTGTCGCAGGTGCAAATGCCCCAACTGCCAGTCCACGGGAAACGGAGGTGCTGCTCTGGAGTTCGGGAAGAAAAGACTACACATTTGTCACATTCCAGATTGCGGCAAGGTCTACAAAAAAACCTCTCACCTGAAGGCGCACCTGCGCTGGCATGCCGGCGAGCGGCCCTTCATCTGCAACTGGCTCTTCTGCGGAAAGAGCTTCACTCGCTCAGATGAGCTGCAGAGGCATCTTCGCACGCACACCGGGGAGAAGCGTTTTGGCTGTCAACAGTGCGGGAAAAGGTTTATGCGGAGCGATCACCTCTCCAAGCATGTGAAGACCCACCAGAGCAGGAAGAGTCGGTCCAGTCAGCCTTCTCAAAGTGGGACTGATGCACTGCTAAGCAACATTAAGAGAGAGTAAAGGATGCTGAATGCAAAAGAACACAGTATAGTATCAGGAATGAAACCAGAGACCCTTTGAGGCCATTTGCGTCATCTAAACTTTTTTTATAGAAAAGGTGAAATTGTTAAAAATACAGTATATTCCAAAAAGCAATAAGAGCATGGGCCTGTTTTGAAAACACTGGAGCGAACGCACACCATGCTGCACGGAAATTGATCTTTGAGACCTTAAAGAGACTTTAGGTCACAGTGGATGTGATAGAGCTGATAAAAGTGACATTTTATTATGGCTCTGGACGCAAAGACTTCTTATGACCAAATTTGCCCTTGCACATTTATTTAAAGATAATTCAATTCCTCTAAAGAAATTCTCTGAACAGCACAATCAAAAGTATTTGTTACATGGTAAAAATGTCATTTGTTTGCATTTTGTTGTTGCTTTCTCTAGTTTTTAGGTAAAATTGATGCCTTATATTAAAATCATAAGTTCTGGTTGCAAAATTTGCCAACGTTATTCCCTGACAGATCACTGTAGGTCTTGTTTTCTTGCAGAGAATGGCACTGCTATAAATCTATTTCACTCTAAATCTAAATAGTTTCAAGACATGAACCAAATGTATATAATGTTTATATAGCGCACAGTTCTATAAAGACCAGCATGTGAAATATTAATAAACACAAATAACTGTGCAAATCAAAATCTTGTGCTTCGTTTTGTTCATTCCTTCACAGTGTTTAATACCTTGCCAAGCACACTTCGTGCATTTTAACAGATGTGTGAAGTTCAGCAAATGGCTAATGTTAAATCTAACATGGCGTGTCGGACCTCAGCGTTTTGCATTTATTCTAATGATAATGTTCTAGCATTCAGGATGCTAATTTAAGGTGGCCATTGTTTCCAAGGTGTCGAGGAAGCACTTAAAGCAAAGACACATGACTGGAGAGACTTCAGACATTTTACAGTTGTCAGTAAATAGTCAGGCCATTCATGAGAACAGTGGTCTGACCTTCTCCCATCAAGTTCACAGTCATGTTGTCTCGTAATGGCTGGTGTAAATAACAGACAACAGTCACTGAGGATAGTGCTCTACTGGAGCTCACTGTGAATGGACCCCCGGCTGTTTATATCCCACTTGCCGTGACAGAAGTCGCTTTGATTTGGCACCTTTGTGATAGTGAATGCTCACAAACCCTCTTCCCCCATCTGTGTGTGTAAATGAACCCTTTACTGCTAAAGAATGTGACTTAAACAGAGACAAATGAACCAGATGTCTGCATGTGTAAACTAGATTCCCTAGCCAGATCACAGAAAGCTCACTGATCTTATTGTTTGATATCAGTATGACTCTAGTCTTTAGTTTGTTTGTTTTTTAAATCCCATATACTTTATCTTTTTTTTTTTTTTTTTTTTTTAAAGTTGAAATACACCACTGCAAAAATGACTGTGAAGGTTTTCATCCATGTAGGTCAACATAAAGTGTCTGATGGAGTTTAATAAGAAGAAATTCAACAAGCAAGTCTAGTTCTGACCGATTGCTTCTGAATAAACTACACCAGAACCTACTTAACGGGGCAAGTTGTCACAATAACTAAAAGTTTTTTTTTTTTAAGCCAAAAAGTCCAAATACACAAATTTTTACTTTCTCTAGCAATGATTTAGTATGTTAGTTTCAAACACCCAGATCAAAAGAGTCTAAAAACCAAATAATTTCTGTGAATTTTGTCTCAGAAAATAAAATATCATTATATTTTTATTATCATTATATCTTGGAACTAATTACCACAATGAAACCACACTGGGATAGAAAAATTATTTAATACAATTATTTAATGAAGATTATAATTTTAGATTATAATTAGAATATAATTTTGACTGAAAGGCTTGACTTTGTTTTCAGGGCAAACATATTTTTCATAATATTAGGGCAAGTTGTCATATACTTTACATTTTGTAATTTTATACAAATGATCATTACAGTTTCATTTATAGTTGTTTTACTGGACAATTTTGCTGATGAGCCAATAAAAAGCTATTTAATGGCAGGTTTCAATGTGATTTCGACAAACTGCCCTTTTATAGGTCATGTTTAGTGAACTACATTGGGTCTTTTTGTACGTTTTTTTTTCCTGTACAGAAACTGACTTTCCGAAACAATCCTACTCTGAGAAATATGTTAGTGTGACAACTAGCCCCGGTCTCCCTTATACAACAAATACACATCCTCAAAGACATCACACAGCAAACGTCTGTGAATACAGCAGAAAAGGAAACGTGTGTTCCTAGACACTCTTGGAGTTCCAAAAGGAACCAGTTTAATTTGATATAATACAACGATAGGTTTTGTCACATAGACATAGATCATGTCCAATTCTTTCTCTACATCATTTCCTTCATCTTTTAGAGGTGTTCTTCAAAATAGCATGCAACAATGTAAGATTCAAATCCACATTTGTGGAAAGGCAGTACAGGAAAGCTTTCAGTTTATACAGGGCTATGTCAAATTATTTGATTTCTGCTGATTTGAATATTACGTCAAGGCAAGAGAAGGTTATTACAATCATTTTAAGGATATTTATGCGAATGCATCTGAAACATGCCGACAGTAAAGCACATGAGCTTTGAATTTGAAGTTTTAAACTGATCTGTGGAAAAGACCGACTGGATGTGTATACAGCGCTGAAGTCCTCTGGCACCCTCTGTTGGAAAGAATGTGCAATGAGCTAAACGGAGTGAAAGTGCTTTTTGATCATGCTTCAACATCAAATACCAAACACATACCATCCCTTCTTTGGTGAGACATCTAACATTTTATGACAAACTATATGTTTCAGACTCGATTAACAATGTCAATCCTCTTTCTAACTAATGATTTGGTTTGCCATTAACAAATAATTTGCTTTAATAAGAACTATAAAACAACTAAAAAAAACACAATAACCAAAAAAATGTGTTGAAAACTTTGGAAAATAAAAACTGACATCTTTAGCTTTTTCCCTACACTCTTAAAAATAAAGGTGCTTCACGATGCCATAGAAGAACCTGTTTGTCTAAATGGTTCCATAAAGAACCTTTAATATCTGAAGAACCTTTCTGTTTCACAGAAGGTTCTTTGTGGTGAAAAAAGGTTCTTCAGATTACAAAAAGGTAAGAAAGAGATGGTTCTTTAAAGAACCTTTGACTGAATGGTTCTTTGTGGAACCAAAAATGGTTCTTCTATGGCATCGCTGTGAAGAACCTTTTGAAGCACCTTTATTTTTAAGAGTGTAGTTTTTATGAGAACATTTGACTAAAAATTAAGCAAGTGTTTTAGCTCGTTTTCAAATGGTCGATAAATGAACTGAATTACATTTTAGGTTTAATATTTCATTCATTTTTGTGTAAAGGGTACTGGCACCTGCTTTTGGCACATAATGACAGGACAATTTACCTTTGGCCTTCATTAAGTTATATATTAATAATAATAATAATAATATCTAATAATTCAGCAACCTCAATTTGAATGACAAGACCTGCAGAGTAATCCAGGCAGTGGGCATTACACAAGGAGGGGTGGCAGAAGCCAAAAAAAGAGTCATTTAGCCACAGATAACTGCTTTTATACTGCATGTTCTTCTGCTGTAACAACTGCTGTCCATCTCTCAGTTCAACCCTTGAGCAGTTCCTCCAGATGCTCGTTGTGTGTGATCTCTTATGTACACCTGTAGTTGTGAAGTCTGAACACGAAGCTGAACACGAGTCGCTCATCGTCCACTACAACGGAGTTGATTGATCTTCGAGAATTCAAACATCCAATTAGCGAAGAGAAAGTCAAGTGTCCGTGTCTCCATGCACAGATCATTCTTCTACATACAGTATATACAAATTAGCTGCATTTAGAGTCTGTTTCCCCTTAGCTCCTTCAGAAGAGTTTACGCAGCCCACAAAAGCATTCAATATAGACGGGAGACAGAAAGACAGCTTCTGTAAAGAGGCACCAATAGTGCGAACCTTTAAAATCCAGCGTGAGCCCACTAAGGACCCTCTTATGTTTATAATAATACAGTATGCTCTCTGCAAAACACATCTGATGGAAAACGTTCAGCATTTTTGCAAGGATGAAGCCATCAGAATTTAGCACACAAATACACATTCATACATTACATGCACGCTTGCCCAAATGCATCCTCACACCCTCAAATAAAGGTTTACTCTGGTTCCTGCTCCAGTGACCTCCCAATATAGGAATGGTTGATTCTCCTTTGAACAAAACACAACTTTAATAAAAGACAACAACAACAAAAAAAAGAGAAATTATATAAAACCATTTAAAAAGTCACTAGGTAATTTGCGTCACAGGTTTAGGAAGAATACCACAAGATAACAGACGTGAATAAAGTCCAGACTGTGGCATGCTCTGGTGCAAAATCAGAATTAGGGTGATTTCCATTCACAGGTCATCCTCATCAAGCTGGGCCAAGTTACTGGAGCGCTGAAGAGTGGAGGAGGGACTTGGAACAGCCATGCCTCCCTCTCTCGGTGAAGATCTGCGGCCAACATCTCCTGAGCTCTGGGACACAATGGAGAAAAAAACCCACTATTTTTGCCACTGATGGTTTATTTTTCTAAACAGCACATTATTAATATCAAGATTCTGTGGAAGCCTGTTTTAGTGCCTATTGAGAAAAAAAAGTGCTTAAAGTAAGAAATAAAATCATATTGTAAGATATAAAGTCACAAGTATGAGATATAGTCATAATTGTGAAATGTAAAGTCAAATTTTACGAGCGCAATTACGAGAAATGAAGTTAAGTTAATAAAGTAAAACTGCAAGACATAGTCACATTATAAGCTGTAAATTTGCAGATGTGAGAAACAGAGTGGCAAGATATAGCTCAGTCACGTTGCGAGATATTAAGTCGCCCTGTGGGATAGTAACAATTGGGAGATATAAAGTCGCAATTATTAGAAATAAAGTTGCAAATGCAAAATATAAAATCAAACTATGAGATATAAAGTTGTAACTGCAAAATATAGTCCCA